TTGCGATCCGTTGCCGGTCACAAAAAAAGACAAAAACATACAGACCGGTTCCCACTCACTGGCTGAGCGAGGTGCGGGAGCAACGCCGAGGGTTGCGATCCTGTTGCCGGTCCCGGTCCGGTACGGGGGCAACACTGAGGGTTGCGATCCGTTGCCGGACACGGAAAAAGACAAAATGACATAAAGATATATTCAAAAATATCTGGGAAACCCCTCCTGTGTGCCTGGCACTGTTCTAGGTCCAGGGGGTGATCAAAGGCAACGTCCCTGCCCTCAGGGAGTGGACAGTCCACACTATCACTGTCACCAGAACCTTCTGCCATGCTGGTAATATTCCTCATCTGCACCATCCCAGACAGAATCCATGAGCCACGCAACGCTCCTGAGCCCCTGAAATGTGGCTCATGCGGCTGCAGAACTGCGTGTTCACTTTGATTTAATTACTTTAAATTAAATGGCCCCACGTGGCTTGTGGCTATGTGTTGAGAGTGCAGGGCTCTAGGGGGAGCCAGACGACATCACAGACATCACAGACATCAATATATTACACGGTTGATATATCTTCTTGTTGCATTGATCCTTTTATCATGACATAATGTCCGTCTTTCTCTTTTTATAGTTCTTGGTTTGAAGTCTATTTTATCTGAGTTAAGCATGGCAATGACTGCTTGTTTCTGGTTTCCACATGCATGAAATGTCTTTTTCCATCCCTTCACTATTAGTCTATGTGTGTCTTTATTGGTGAAGTGAGTTTCTTGCAGGCAGCATTTATGTTGGGTCTAGTTTTTTAATGCATTCAGCCCGTCTACATTTTTTAAGGGTGGTATTGAAAGGCATTGTCTTATTCCTGCCATTTTGTTAATTTCTCTGTGGTTGTTTTCTGTTTCTTATGGTCCTTTCTCTCCCTTTCATTGTCTGTCTTTGCTGTTGAGTGTTTTTTTTTGGAGTGCAACACATCTGCTTTCTCTTTCTCATTTGCATGTCTGTTCTACCAGCTGTTTTTATTCTTTCTCATGTGTTTATGGTGACCTGGATCTCTCTTCTGATTCCATATCCTGGACTCCCTTGAGGATTTGTTGAAGGGATGTTCTTATGGGGGTGGATTCCTGCAGTTTTTGTTTGTCAGGAACAGATGATGTTTCTTTATTTCTGAAGGAAAGCGTTGCTGGATGCAGTATTCTTGTTCGGCAGTTTTTTTCTCTTAGCACTTTGAATGTGTCATCCCACTCTCTCCTGGCCTGTGGGGTTTCTATCGAGAAGTCTGCTGTATGCCTGATGGGTACTTCCCTATAATTGACTTGATGCTTTTCTCTTGCTGTGTTTAGAATTCTTTCTTTGTCTTTGACTTTTGATAATTTGACTACACGTGTCTCGGGGAGGTCCTTTTGGGGTTGAATCTGTTTGGGGATCTTTGAACTCCTTGGATCTGTAAAACCGTCTCCCAATATTTGGGAAGTTTTCAGCTATGATTTCATTAAATAGGCTTTCAATGCCTTTTCCTGTTTCTTCCCAACATTTGGGAAGTTTTCAGCTATGATTTCATTAAATAGGCTTTCAATGCCTTTTCCTGTTTCTTCCCAACATTTGGGAAGTTTTCAGCTATGATTTCATTAAATAGGCTTTCAATGCCTTTTCCTGTTTCTTCCCAACATTTGGGAAGTTTTCAGCTATGATTTCATTAAATAGGCTTTCAATGCCTTTTCCTGTTTCTTCTCCTTTCTGTATACCTATAATATAAATGTTTGTGGGCTTAAGGTTATCAGAAGGATTTCACAGGTTTTCTTCATTTTTAAAATTCTTTTTTCTTTTTTGGTCCAACTGTGTGAATTAAAAAAGCCTGTGTTCTAGTTTGGAGATTCTTTCTTCTGCTTGGGTGTATTTTTTTATTTCTTTGAATGAATTCTTCAGTTCCAGGATTTCTGCTTGATTTTTTTTTTTAATTGCTTGTATCTCTTTGTTGAATTTCTCATACATGTCCTCGGATTTCCTTTTGACTTCATTGTGATTTCTACCTATTTTTTCATTCATCATTGCAGTTTTCTTAGTATTGTACTTTGGGATTCCTCCTTGGGCAATTCGCAGCTTCCTGTTGTATGGGGTCTGGTGTTGGAGGATTGTAGTCTTCTTCTGGGGGAGTCAAGCTTGCAGAGAAAAGTTATGTCAAGTGAAATAAGCAAGGCATAGAAAGAGAAATACCACATGTTCTCACTCATAAGTGGGATCTGAAAAACAAAAAAGAAAGACCGTAATAAAACGAACTTTCAGAGAGAACAGACCTACAGTTATTAGAGGTGGGAAAGGGGGAGAGGGAAGGGATGGGGGGTAACTGGGTAAAGGACACAAAGAGTAATTACAGTTGTAATGATGAACAGGCTAATCATATTGATTTGATTGTCACATACTGTACACAAATACTGATAGTCAATTCTGTACCCCATAAATATGTATAAGTAAAAATAATAAAAATAAAAAATAAAAAATTTTTTAAAAAGTTAAAAAACATATATATTACGTGACATGAGATGGTGCAGGGGTCCCGGGAGAGGAGGGCGTGGGGGCAGGTGGCCAGGGTGACGGAGGGGGTGGGGGAGGCCCTTCCTGAGGAAGTCACGCTGGCGCTGGCGTTGAGAGGAATGAAGCGGGGCGGTGAGCCATGCGGGCATCTGGGGGAAGGGTGTTGTGGGCAGAGTGCGGGGCACGTGCAAGGGCCCTGGGGTGGGAACAGGCTTGGCCCGTGTGCAGCCGGGTGAGGAAGCACAGGGAACGTTGGAGGTGAGGTCAGGGAGGTGGGGAGGGGCTCGGTGGAGAACGGGGCTGTCTCACGCCTTATCTTCTCTTTGCATCTCTAGCTCACCAGCTTGGATGAACACATGCTTCTCCTCATCTGTGGCTGCCCTCCAGGGCAGTACACGGACAGGTCACTCCTCCCTGTGGACCTGGCCCAGATTTCAGAGAGTCTAGCAGCCGCCCCGGCCCCGGAGTCCCTTCTCCTGGTGCAGAAGTCCTCATTCCCTCTCTGGGAGCCAGCCGGGAACCCCACTCCTCTGCCACCACTGCTGCTCCTGGAGGGTCCCTCAGAAGAACCTCAAACCCAAGAGGTGCTGGACCCCAGGCCTCCTCCTGCTCCCAAAGCCACAGGACAACCTGGCTGGGACTGTTATGATGCCTCCCTCTGTCAGGAGGCCCCGAACATTTCAAATGACCGATCTCCCAAGAAAGGGCCCAAAGACCTAAAAGGCATTTGGAATGAGGGGGGAGGGGCCCCAGGGGAGAGAACTGAGAAAGGGGAGGTGAGGAGGACTTTGGGCAGGAAGGAGGAAGACCTCAGTGACAAGTGCCAGCCAAGTCAGGAAGGCCATGAGACCTCGAGCTCGGAGACTGGGATTCAAGCCCCAGAGGGCGTGCAGGGCGACAGGAGGGCCGCAGAGATCCCTGCTGCCGCCTGCTGCCCGTGGTCCGGGCAGGGGTTTCTGATGCCTCTTCTGCACGGGGAGGCCTCAGTGTCAAAGGAGGGTCCCGAATCCCTGAGCAGGAGGAGACAGAGTGGAAGAGATGGCTGGAGCTTCCTAGGAGGGCTGTTGTCAGAGAAAGAGGAGGCAGTGCCCCCAGCCACCTTCTCCAGGGCTCAGAGGACTGAACAGCCACTGCCAGCAGGCGGTCAGCTCCTGGCTGGGGAGGGCAGAGCCAGCAGGAGGGTTCAGGGTGAGGAGGGAAACCAGCTGTGGTGTGGAAATGCTCTGCTTCAAGAAGAAAGCCCTGGGGATAGGGGGCTTGAACAGGAGGAGACGCCACTGGATCAAGATGCATCCAGCCACGGTTCCAGGGGTGTCCCTGAGGAGCCTGACTCCGAGGACCGTGAACACAGGGAAATGCTATCCCTGGAGGGGGGCAGAGCTTTGCTGCTGTTTCCCAGGTTGGCCTTATCAGCCTATGGAGGTGAGCCCAGCAGTAATCCACGGGCTCCAAGCAGAGGGCACGACAGATATATTCTCACACTAGATGAATTTGAAAAGGAGATGGAGGCTTGTTTCCAGCAACTGTCCCTCCTCAAGTTGGGCAGCGGTGGTTCCGGACGAAAAGCCTCCACACCGACGGGAGAGAACTGGAGCCTTGCTTGGCAGTGGCGCTGCTGCCAGGACAGCGCTGCCGCTTCTCAGCAGGTCTGGGGAAACCGGGGCTTGCATCTTTGCTGTGCTGAGGATGCAAAGCCCGCAGAGAGCAGTGAAGATGTTAAACTGGGAAAGACCGAGGCCCTGGGGATGCGTGAAGTTGTTCCAGGGGCCATGCCCCCCGAGCTGGGTCAGCACCGGCTTTCCCAGCAGCCAGGAGCCCTCGAGCAAGTGAGGAGCAGGTTTCACCAGCTCATCTCTGGACTGAAGAATGAGAGAAGTCAGGTTTTACAGGAGAACGCCAAACTTCAGGGAGACCAAAAGAGATGCCATGAAAAGCTGCACACCCTTGAAAAAGAGAGAGCGAGCCATGCGACAGAAATAGCCAGGCTTGAGCAGAACAACGATGTGCTGTTAGCAGATGTCTCGCACTTGAAGAGGGACCTGGACCAATATTTGCAGGTCATTTCTGACCTTGAAGACTGCAATGCAAAAAGTTACAGCAAAATTTCAGAGCTCGAAGAGGAAAATGAAAAACTGAAAAGGAGTCTGGGCCAACTCCAGAGAGCCATGTCTGAGAGCATGAGGAAAGCCAAAGGTGTGACAGAGTGTGTCACCCTGGAAAATGGGGAGCTCAAGGCGCTGATTTCAGAGCTTGGGGTCAGTTACAAAGAGCTGGTAAAGGAGATAGTGTTGGGCATGGAGGACATGACCCGGGCCTTCAGGGGGCAGAACGAGCTCCTTCTAGGCAGGATCCGTGTCCTGGAGGGGAAGGTCACCTTGGAGACGAGCCAGGATGTGGGGCATCTGGAGAGAGGAGGAGGGCACCTCCGGGGAAAGCCCAAGATGACGGCAGACAAGATGCATGCTGTTGACAGAGAGGTGCAGGTGACACAACTTTCAGGGCAACTGATTCCAGGAGTCCATGGGCCACCTTTGGAGGAGGAAATGGGTCTGACTTCTGGGAAGACGGGATCTTCCTTAGGCATGGAGAATTCCAGATTAGGTGCTGAGGCTGCTACTCCATCACTGGGCTGGAGAAATGCTGAAGAGTCCAGTGCCCTGCAAGGAAACATTGGTGGAGCAGGAGTAAAAGAAGCACATTTGGGAAAAAGACCCAAAAAAGAGAAAGGACCATGGTGTTCTGCAGACCAAGGACAAGCTCCAGGGTCCCGGAGTAATGGCCCCCAGGTAAGTTGACTCTGCATAGCTGTTCACTATTCTCACTTGCTAACCTTCTGTAGTGCTGATTCTGCTCCAGGGTCCAGCCCCTTAACTCATGGAATCTTCCAGCAGCCCTAGGGGGAAGGTACAGATCTCATCCCTATTGACCAGATTGCAGGACATAGGCATAGAAAAGTGAAGGGACTTGCCTGAAGTCACGCAGCTAGTGAGGGGTGGGCTGGGACTGGCCCCTGAGCACGCTGGCTCCAGAGTCTCCGTTCTTACCTGCTTCAAGCCCACCCCTCTACTTAGGCTCTCCAAGCTGGTGTCCAGTGGAGCACTGAGGAATGTTTGCACTTTAATATAACACCTTGTGGTTTTGGATCTGGGACTGTTTCAGGTGGCCTGAGTCATCATTCTATACACAGGGTCTTGAAAGGTACAATGGAAAGGGAAGTCGGCTGTAAACTTATTAAAACAGGGTTCAAACCCAGCTCTGCACTTGGAGAGCTGTGACCTTGAGCCCAGATGCGGACTTTTCTGAGTCACTTTCCTCATCTGTAGACGATGCTCGACTTGCCGGACTCCTAGGATGAAGTGCTAGGATGATGTTCTCATGGTGGTCTTACTGAATGTAGGATATTTAGTGCTGAGCCCTTTGTGTTCATTCGTATCCATTCTCTGTCTCTGTCTCTCCCTAGCAGTTGTACCAATCATTTCATAGAAACTTTGGTTTTATAATGTTTTTCTTTATTGTCTGTATTTTATTTCATTGGTTTCTTCTTATCTCTTCATTATGTTCTTTCTTCCACTTTCTTTTGGTATGATTTGTTGTTCTTTCTCTTGCTTTTTGTGTTGGAATCTTAGATCACTGATTTTCAACCATTCTTTTGTAATCGATGCATTTAAAGCTATCAGTTTCTCTCTCAGCATTTCACATATTTTGATACGATGTCCATTCAATTCAAAATGGTTTCTAATTTCTGTTGTGATTTCTTCTTTGACCCATGAGTTATTTAGACGTACGTTTCTCAATTTTGAAGCATCTGGGAGAATTTTTAGTTATATTTTTATTTCATTGTTGTCAGAAAGCATACACTATATTATTTTAATCTTTTGAAATTTGCTGAGGCTTGTTTTGTTGACTGGGTCATAGTCTATGTAGGTAAATATCTCATGTGCCCATGTAAAGAATGAATATTCTGCAATTTTGAGTATTAGTTAGGCCACACTGGTTAATTGTGCTAATCAAATCTTTATGTTTTTACATTCTGTGATGTTGCAGAGCAGTTGGGAGGGAGAGAGAGCAAAGGGGAAGGAAATGGGATGGAAGAAGGAGGAAGGAAGAGGGGCAGGATTGAGGCCTGTGGCACCCCCGTCATTCCCACAGGGGAGACCAGGGGGATTCCAGTGGTGGCTTGGTCATTGCCAGGATGGGTGTAGATATCAGGGGGATGTGGCAAAAGCCCTTGCCACCCACGTGCCCAGTTCGGGAACCTGGGGCCCTTCTTGCTGTGGCTTGGTGGTCATCATTGGTCTGGTTGCACATGTCGTGTGGGCGTGGCTGAGGCCCTTGGTCCCCCACTGTCCCAGCTTGGGAGAGCCTGGGGTGCTTCCTGTGGCAGCTTGGTGGTTGTCACTGGACTGGTTGCAGGTGTTGGGGGTGCATGGCCGAAGCCCAAGGCCTCCCACTGCCCCATCTTGGGAGAGCCCAGGGAGCTTTCTGCAGTGGCTCAGTGGTTGTCGCTGGACTGGTTGCTCATGTCAGGGGTGTGTGGCCAAAGCCCTTGGCCCCACCCTTGGGACTGGTTGCAGGTGTCAGGGGGCATGGCTGAGGCCCCCAGCTCTCCCCCATTTCTGGCTTGGTAGCCAAGGGGACTTCCGGTCCTTTTAGGTGTTACAGGTGTTCTTTAGTGAAATGAGACCTTTACAAGTTAATATCAAACTTTGTCTCTGGTCTGTGGGAATTCTGTTTTTCTTTCAGTTCTGTGTTGGATTATTTGCTGTTTCCACCACTTAAACTCTGCACTGGAACTAATTTGTTGTCCTTTTCTTACTTTTAAAATGGGGGAGCTTCCTGTGGGGACCAGTCTTGAGCTGTGTGGTTGAGCTAAATTGCTGCTTTGCTGCTGATTCCCTAGGGAAGGCTTTTTGTGCAGCTCAGGTTTTTTTTTTTTTTTTCCTTTTTGTCCATTTTTCGTGTCTGGCAATGGATCGCGACCCTCAGTGTCGCGCCCGTACCGCACCGGGACCAGCAACGGGATCGCAACCCTCAGTGTTGCACCCGCACCTCACTCAGCCAGTGAGCGGGAACTGGTCTGCACGTGGGATCCGAACCCTCGGCGGGAGCGCTGCCGTGCTCCCAAGTGGCGCACTGTAGCAGTGCGCCACCGGGCCGGCCCTGTGCAGCTCAGGTTTTAATGGTTGACTTTTTTTTTTTTTAGATGACTGGTAAGGGGATCTTAACCCTTGATTTGGTGTTGTCAGCACCACGCTCAGCCAGTGAGCAAACCGGCCATCCCTATATAGGATCTGAACCCGTGGCCTTGGTGTTATCAGCACCACACTCTCCCGAGTGAGCCACGGGCTGGCCCTTTAATGGTTGACTTTAAAGGTACTTCTGGGCCTAGCAAGAGTCAATGCACCTGGGTTGTGTAGAATCTCTGGTCTGGGCCTTAGTCTTTTCATCAAATTGCACCCCATGCAACTCTATATTCATGACCAATCTCTTCTGAGTGGTCCCACGCTGATTGGGGGTGGATTGTCTGTCCTTGCTGTGTCCCCGTATTCCCCCAGTGGCCTCATCTCCCCCACTGCCAGTGCTGCAAACACTTCACATGGGACAGGCCATGCACCAGTCCCTTGTGATGACTCACTGACCTCTGAGTGGATCCTTTTTTTCAGTTGTTGTGGCTTCTCACTCCTATGTGGGTCCACAGGAACTCTTTTAGTGGTCTTGCTGGCCTGGGGACCAGCAAGGCCCTCTTATCCCCTGCCATCTCCAAGCAACTTCGTCTGAAGGGCACAGCTGCAGCTTTTGCCAGCTCCTGCTCTGTGTGATCAGCAGCTCCAGCCTGGAAGTGGTCAGGATTTGAAACAGTTGGAGCGGTTTTTTCTTTCTCTCATTGTGGCTCCTCCCACCCTCATGCACTCCGTAATCTCTCCTCCTCTTCCCCTGAGCTCTAGCAGCCCCAGCTTGGCTGTTATAGCTTTTTTATAGTTGTAAATTGGTTGATTTGTCTAATCAAATCTTCTGTATCTTTACTGATGTGTAAAGATATAGATAGACATATTTTTGTCATTTGCTAAGAAGCATTTTAAAATTTCCAAATCTGAGTGTGCTTTTGTGTATTTCTTCTTTTAGCTATGTTATTTTTGATTCATATATTGTGTTATTTATTTGCTATTTTTTTCTACTTGTCTCATCTGTTTCTTTTTATTTTTACTTTCCTGCCTTCATTTTTGGTATTAATCATTTTTACACTTCTTGCCATGTAACAAAGATGCAAAAAGTATTACTCAAAACGACATGAATGCAATGAGAAGCCCAAAGGGACTGTTACCTCAGCAACTCCTCCATTAGAAGGAGAAACTGGGTACAGCTCCAGTTCAATGTTAGCTTCTGTTTTTATTGTAAAGACAGGGAAGTTTCACAATAAAAATCAGTTGATTCAGTCATTTCAAAAGGACCCAAAGACATGGGCAACATGACAAAAGTTATCCATAGCTAAGTACAGCTTAAACAACGGAAACTAGTAACTTCATTAAAACTAACAGTATGATAGTCCAAAGTATAATTAGTGAAATGTTAAGCTAGTTACACTATGATCATTATCTTTAACTTAAGATATAACTATTTTTATAACAGCTAAAACAATCATTACATTCCTATGATTCTATCTGTGATTGTATCTTAAGTTTCCATTAACAAAAAGTTTTCCCTTCAGCAAACATTTCTCACGTATTTTCTTACAGCAATTCTGTAAAATCTCTTAACATGATCAGTATGTCAACCACCTGTTAACTCTAAAATCATTAAGTATACAATTCTATACCTAAACAGTGCTTGGAGTCAATTTGATGGGCTACTGCCCGCTTAGCTGTAGGCTTTTGCCTCCTAGCTAAGGACTTTTGTCCCATAAGTTTGTTAGCTAAAAACCCTATACTAAGAATCAACTGAGAATCTACATATACTTGATTAGAATTTATTAGATAGGCTTTTTGCCCTGCTAGCTGTCCAGTTTATTGTATTGTATATTTTAGTATCATTCTTTTAGTGATTACCCTAGAAATTTCAAAATGTATCTGTTATTTAAATCAACCTTTAATTAGTATTCTGTCATGTCACAAATAATGCACACATCTTTTATAGTTTAATTTTATTTCCTTTCTTTTTATCATTTATTTTTGTCCTGTATGTTACTTCTATGTGTAATAAGTCTTACAAGTCATTGTTTTTTGTTGATTTAAACAATCATTAATCCTTTTTGTTTAGCCATATGTTAACATGTTCTCATGCTGTTCTTTCTTTCTTCCATTTCTGTGAATCTGCTTTCCTTCTGCCTTAAGAACTTTAGTATTTCTTGTACTGACCATTTTCTAGTTATTTATTCTCTCATATTTCTTTTTATAAAAACATTTTTTCATGTCCTCTTTCTAAAGATTTTTTTCCCATTGGATTCAGAATTTTTGGTAGGCAGGTATTTCCCCCTTTTTTGCACCTTAAAGATTTAATTCTATTGTCTTCTGCCTCCCATAGTTTCTGCTAAGAAATCAGTTGTAAATTTTATTGTTTTTTTCCCCCTCCCCTGAGAGAAATGTGTCATTTTATCTCTGACTGCTTTTAAGATTTCCTTTTTATCTTTGGGTCATGGCAGTTTGACTATGATGTGCCCAGGTGTGGTTTTATTTGTATTTATCCTGCTTGATCTTTCTGAGCTTCTTGAAATTGTACATTCATGCCTTTTATCAGACTTAGAAAATTCTTGCTTATTATTTCTTCAAATATTTTATCCTCTCCTATGTCTCCTCTCCTTTTCCTCTAGAAGTGCAGAGTTTTTTTTTAAATTGTACCCCACATCTTTTGAAAACTCTGTTCTACTTTTTTTCTCTTTATGCTTTAGTTTGGATTTTCTATTGACCTGCAGCTTTTACTTCATGAATTCTGTGTTCCACTTCATCTCATCTTCTGTTAAATCCATCCTAATTTCATTATGGTATTTTTCAGTTCTATAATATCCATTTTATTCTTTTTTTAGAAAAAGACATTCTGATTCTCTGTTGAAATACTCTGTCTCTTCATCACTTTATCTTTTCCTATGTTTTAAAATATATATAAATCACAGTTATTTTGAAGGCCTTGTCTGCTAACTCCAGTATCTGGATCATCTCTTTGTCTGCTTCTATTGACTATTTCATTCCTTGGTGAACAGTCATGTTTTCCTGCTTCTTCACAAGTCTAGAATCTTTTTTTTTGTTTTTATTTTGGACATTATGTATGATATATTGTGGAAGTCTTTGGTTATTATCTTCCTCTAAAGAATGTTGAGTGAGTTTTGTTCTGGCAAGCAGTTGAATGATCAGCAGATCATCTTATTCCTGTGCAGGTCTATTTCCATTTTATCCTCAGTTCTAGGGCTTGACATTACTCCTAAAGTGTGGCCCTTGCTCCTAGGGCATGGCCTTTTGGTGGTATTAATTGAGTTCCCAGAGCATTCATCAAAGTCTCTCCACTTTGGTTCAGCCAGAACTCTGCCATCCTCTCACAGTGTGTGACCTCTGAAATCTCTTCAGCAATTAACCTCCCAGCTGCTGTTTTCTGCAAGGCTTAGATACTTTACTATGCCACATATCTTATGACTCAACCAAAGACCCAGAGGGCATTTCTAAGACAGTATTTGGTTTTCTTTGCAGTGTTGTCCTCTCTGTTATTTTGTCCCCAACTGTCTTAGCATCCCTAAACTGCAGTCTCTCATTCCTCTGCACAGCAGGACCACCACTCTCAGCTTGGGCTTTATTTCCTGAACCGTGGTTTGGAAAATGTTTCAGAGAAAAGTCCAGGGGAAATGTGGAGCTCATCTGGTTGTGCTTGCTTTTCCTCAAGGATTGTAGTCCTGCATTGGTCACCTTCCAATGCCTGCAAAAGATTATTTTTATATATTCTCCCCAGATTTTATTTGTCCAATACCAGCTATTCAGACCAGGTAGGAACTAGAACTCTGAGGAGGCAAATATTGAGCTGACTTTCAAGCATAGAAAGGAACAACAGGAAAGAACATTCCAGGCAGAAGGAAAAGCTACCAGACAGGTTCTGAGGTAGGAAAGAGCCCGGTTTGTGGATTTCCTACAGTGGGTAATAATCGACCCCTGAGAACCACTTCAGATGGTCACTTATATCCCTGCCATCTACACTCCACACTTCAACCCTGACCTCATTCTCTTCATCTTCCACCCGCCCCTTCCTGAACCTGCTTTCTCCCTCTGGTTCTCATGTTGGGGACAGCTCCTCCGGGAAGCCACATAGCCCCTCACTGGGTTCATTGCAGAGGTGTGGTGGAGCTGACTCATGCACATCTCTCAACTCTGTGGTCAATGACATCGTTTTGGTAGCTTGCAGTTGGTCATGGTGGGAGGATCGACACCATGCTTATTGACAAATGCTACAAATGGGTACTGCTTCTCCTGCCAGCATGGAGAGCAGTTGTCACACATGATGGCACAGCTAGGTGGTGCTTCTGGGTGTCTCTGTTAGGTGGCCGTGGCCTCCTGGCTTCCCATTGCCATGCTGTGTGGCATTGCGTCTGTCTGTGTCATTCTCCCCAGCAGATAGAGCTCCAGAGGCCCCAGTGCGGCATGTGGCTGGAGCATGTGGCCAGAGTAGGTGACCGCCGGGCAGCTCCCAGCGGTGCTGTGGGGATTGCTCCCATGGAACAGGCAGGCTGGCCCCACCTGCTCTATCGTTCTCTTTAGAACATACCATGGGCGCTCGCTCAGGACCTGCTTAAGACAAAGCCCATGCAAGTCTCTGCCAGAGGAGGGAGGCAGAGGAGGCAGCAGACTTCCCAGAAAGGCCAAGTTGTTTTGAAGTCTTGGAGCTGGATTTTGCGAGCCATTCGGAGCACCCATCTGTTCTTGCCAGGGCCCAGCCTGTGAATCTCAGGCCCACGCAGTGTGAATTTCTGTTAATTAAAAAAAATATGTACATCACATTCTACTATCGTATTCCTTGTTAACAAGGGAGATGCCTGACCAGCCATGGAGTCACGTTGATTCTGCCCTCTCACCCGCTCCTCCCTCTGCTCTCTGTTTCCCAAGCAGAATAGCTCAGTATCCCCCTCCCACCTGCTCCCACCTGGTCAGGAACATGGCCCTTGAAACGGCCAGGTTGCTGCTTTCAATGAAATGGAGAGTGCCCAAACAAGGGGCAGGCGTTTGAGAAGTGTCTCAGCTTCTGGGCTCCCAGACCCTGCACAAATGCAACTTTTACTCTTTGCAGAGCTGTCCTTCATAAGGCCACCTTAGCAGTTTCGTTCAAGAGCTTAAAGATGCTCAGCACTTTGGCCCAGAAATTCCCCCTCTGATGATCTTAGGGAAAGACTCAGAGGGATGTTGAAGTACTTATGTACAAGGGTCTTTGTCACAGGCCTATTATAACAGCAAAATGTTAGAAGAATCCAAGCGTTCAGCATGGCCACAGAAAGCTACCTATATATCAATTTTTTTTTTTTTTTTTTTTTTGCAGCTGGCCGGTCTGGGGATCTGAACTTTTGATTTTGCTGTTAGAAGGCTGTGCTATAACCAGCTGAGCTAACCGGCCAGCCTGCTACCTATATATTAATAACAGCATTTGCAACACTATTTGGTGATATGGAGAAATGCTCATGACATGACGTTAAGGGAGAAAAACAGGATACAAAACATATATTGTATATTATATTTCATATAGAAAAATATGTGCATGTATGGGTATCTGTGTATGCTTGTGTGTGTGTGTATGTGCATACAAATAATTGAGGAATCAGAATTTAGGAGCCAGAGCCATCTGGGGGCAGTAGCAGCCCTGCCGTCCACGCTTCCCGCCTTGCTAAGTCAGGCTGCTCCCTCGCCTTCCCCCCTCCCAGAAACTCCCTTTGGCATCCACATGAAACCCACTACCCTCAAATTAGCTCTAAGAAGAGTGAGAGGCCATTTTGTACTGATTTAACAAAAGTGCTGCAGAAAATACAATATCTTCTGTTTTATGTAAATATATGAAGCTTTGATGTAATAAGCATCTCATGGTTTGATTTGAACGTTACATTTCATTTATCATACTGTGTTTCAGTATAATGGAGACTGACATCTATTAAAGCAGGTTCTGGAATGCCATTCCATTTCATATGCTTTTGAAAATAATATTCTGGGATGTTTTTCTGGGATTCCCTAAACCCTCCCCAACACCCCCCTCAGGAAGCCCAGCAGGAGTCACACGCTCCTATATGTGCACAGTAGAAAACATATGGATATAACAGGATATGGATAATAATGATTAGGCTGGATAATAGGATTTGGGGTGATTTACTTTATTTTCTAAAATTTTTTTACTGTGAGAAAAATGTAAGCAGAAAAAAATAACTAAGGGGAAGGAAAATGGGTACTTTGTTTGCTAAGGCAAATTACTTGGGAGAATACCTAAGACTTTCATTCCAATCTGTGCTTTCAGCAGGAGTCAGAGGCTGAGCCTTCTGAGGAGGACCCCGGGCTGCGTGTCCTGCGGCTCCAGCACCAGGTGCGGACCCTGCAGTGCCAGCTCAGGGACCAGGGGACCGCACTCCGGCAGCTGCAGGCCTCTCGCGAGGAGGCCACGTGCCTCCAGGAGGAGCTCGAGGGCAGGGTAGGCTGGGCGGGGCTCCCCTTTTCTCTCTTGTAAATTAACGAATGTTCCCACGCCTCAGGCAGTTTTGAGAGTAGAAAAAGAATCAGCCAAGGCCCTGTTGACCATTCCCAGCAGCCTGTTAGTATTCATGGGACTTTTAAAATATAGAACCATATACGGAAGAAAACTAAGGGGCCCTGACAATCTCCATCCAGCTCCCCTCTGTTAAATAAAAAAAAAAAAAAGTATGTGGTCTTTAGAAAAGACAAACAGATTTAAAATGTTACGTACATAAAGGTAAAAGTCCTTCCTCTGCAGGAGGAAAGTGGTGTGATCAGGAACGAGCAGTGAGAGGGGCACTTGCAGTGTTGGAGCCACTCAGTTTCCTAGCTGCGGTGGTGGATATGCGGGGCTGCACAGGTGGTGAAACTGCATAGAACTTAACGCACACGCGCACACACGCAGATACATGCACATGCACATATGCACATACACACATGTACACAATACATACATACACATATGCACACACATGCACACGTGTACACAATACATACACACACATATGCAGACACGCACATGCACACACATGCACACATGCACACGTGCACACGTGTACACAATACATACACACACATATGCAGACACACACATGCACACACGCACACACACTCACATATGTACACAATACATACATACACATATGCAGACACACACATGCACACACGCACACACACTCACATATGTACACAATGCATACATACACCTATGCAGACACACATGCACACACGCACACATGCACATATGTACACAATACATACATACACACATGCAGACATACGCACATGCACACATGCACATATGTACACAATACATACACACATATGCAGACACACGCACATGCACACACATACACACGCACACATGCACATACACGCACATGCACACATATACACACACATACACAATACATACATACACACATACACACATGCAGACACGCACACACACGCACATACATGCACATGCACACATACACATGCACACACACACGTACACAATACATACACACATGGAGACACATGTACACGCACACACACAACATACATGCACATGCACACATATACACACACACACAATACATACATACACATATGCAGACACACACATGCACACATGCACATATGCACACAATACATACACACATGCAGAAACATGCACATGCGCACATGCACACATGCACACAATACATACATACACATATGCACACACACATGCACATACATGCACACGCACACATATACACACGCACATACACACATGTACACAATACATACATACACACATACACATATGCAGACACACATACACACACATGCACATACACACATGCACATATATGCACATATGCATGTACTCATGGACATGCGCACATGTACACAATAACACACGTACACACACACATGTGCACACACACACACAAACTGAGGCAGAGAAAGAATAAGTGACTGGCACAAGGTCACGGGATTAGGCCCCAGGGTGTCTGGCCTGGGAACGCCTGTGCTAACACCAGTCAGTAAACTCTGTGGCTCTGTCCTCTGCATGGGGACCAGGGATGGCTTCCTTACTAAAGGAGGAGGTGGCAGAGCTGGCCCAGCCACTGCAGTCTGGCAGAGCTTGCTCTCCTCCCTGATCCTGCTGAGCTAGTGATATGAGTGACCTCTGTCTGTCACCAGAGGTGAGTCCCCATGCAGGTAAAGAGGTAAGATGAGGGACAACCTCTGAGCCTGGCTCGCCCGGGGAAGCCCTGAGTTGTGGTAAATGATGGTACAGCATTGTCAAAATTGTTGGTTTTATTTCAGCTTGCAGAACTTCAGAAAAAGCTGCATGAAGCAAAACTGGCCGTGGCTCCTCTGAAGGTAATGTGTGCATAAAATCACTAAGAAATGTCTCTTTGCAAAAAAGAGCCTAGGATCTTAAATGTAGTGCATCTCCATTGTATAAAAATACTGGAAAGAAGAATGAAGGAGACCCAGATGCCACACCAGATCCCAATCCCCATTTGAATGCAGCGTTTTTGTGTATTTCCTTCCAGTATTTTCTCATGGGTGTCTGAGGTCCCACCATCCTCTGCACTTGTGCCCGGCTCTTCCCCCTCGACAGTACAACCTGCAGGAGCGCCTGTGCAGCCACCCGCCTCTGAAGCGGCTGTTCACGCGGGACTGAAGCGCGACGCGTCGGCTCTTAGCCCTGCTCCCGGCCTGTGGGTGCTCAAGCGCGGGCCTCTCTGTCCCGCTCTCCCTCATGTCCTACTGTATATAAACACTGTGTTGCACAGTTTTTCTGGAAATGTTTCCCCCATGTATCAAGACATTTATGTTTAGGACAAATTCCCAGAAATGGCGTTAGAAGCCCACGAGGTTTAATATGTTCTTTGCCAGCTGGACATGGAATTTGGCGAAGGTGACACATTTAATGTCAAATGTGGGCATGGATTGGGTGCAGGCTGGAGGGTCTGCCCTTTCTTTCTATTCTCTGGGCAGGGTGGATAGGGAGGAGCCCTAGGCTGGGTGTCAGCAGAACATGGTTACACCATGGACCCCCACTGACCTGATCCTGGGGCCTCAGTTTCCCCAACTATTAAATTGGAAATGTGGGCCGCACAATCCCTAAAGTCATTTCCCATCCCAGAATCCCACGTCTGTCTGAGCCTCAAGTTTGCATCTGTTAAATAGAAGTCGAAATAATTCCTGATGAGACTCTGTGGACGTCATGGATGGAAAAGTGGAGAGTAAACTGTAAAGCTCTGAAAATGGGAGGTTTTCATCCTCCTCTCTCTTATTGACGTCATTTGATATGGACCGTTTATTTATATGTTTATTTATTTATTGACGGCTGGCTGGTACAGGGAACCAAACCCTCGACTTTAGTGTTATAAGGCTGCACTCTGATCAACTGAGCTAACTGGCCAGCCCATGGACCACTTATTTAAACGAAGACCATAACCCCTTGTAAGCTATAAAGTGCTTTGCACATTGGAGATAATAAAAACACGACACTCTGGGTGCTCTGCCTGCACCATCTCCTTTTATCCTGGTGTCCTTAGCAACCCCCATTGGACAGATGGGCAAGTTGAGGCATGGATAGGAGCTTGGTCCCAGAGCTGATCCATGCTCTTGATCCTGCTGTCCTGCACCTGGACCCCACTGGGAGGGCAGTGGAGAGCCCTTGGGGGGTGTTTTCAAAGCAGCTCTGGCTTCTGGGTGGAGGGAGGCATTGCAGGAAGAAGGCGGTTGCTGCTGAGCTAGGGCAGAGCTGGGGGTAGAGAGCAGGGAGCTGGTCTATCCCCAGCCCACCCTGCCCCCAGCTCAGCCGTGCAGATCCCATGGGAGCCCTGAATCCATGGACTTCACTCTTTCAGGCCAAGCTGGCTTCCCTGGTCCGGAAGTGCCGGGAGAGGAACTGCCTAATTGCTCACCTGCTGCAGGAGCTGCACAGACATGGGTCAGCGAATCTCCTGCTCTCTGAGCTGGCACAGAACATGGTGAATGATGTGGCACTGGCTGAGTACGCGGCCACCTTCCTGGCTCCGGGAGTCCCAGAGGTAGATCCCCACAGACAGCCCTGTCCCTGTCCCTGCTTGCTCTGGGGCTGTGAACACATCCACCCCATCCATGTGCCTAACCCGAGCTTCCCCTCCTTCCTCCCCTACCTCCTCTGCCCGCTGGCCAGCACCTGTGCTCTGAGCCAGCATAGGAAGGTGCTTCTGGTGAGCATCACCCTTAAAGTGCTCATGACATGGTGCAGAGACAGACACAAACAGCAAGTTTAATTCAGTGCCATACAAGCATCACCACCTTTATGTCACCAGACAGTTCTTTCATGAGTGCCTCGACTTCTGCACTTGGCATCTCTCTGGCAGGATGCTTGGTCCACCCATCAGCCTCCTATCCATCCTTCAAGGCACAGTACAAAGTGTGACCTTGCCAGGCGGTCTGCTCTGAATCCCGTGGACCACAGAGTTAGCCACACCCTCTCTGTCCTTCATTGCACATGAACATGTGTGACGTGGCACATATGAGGGATTTTCCTGTACCGTTGTGGGAGTTTTCCTGGCACCTCTCTGTTGGGGCCAGAGTCACTCTGTAGCCATCTCTGTCTCCCCAGTGCCTGGCACAGAGAAGCTGCTCAGGAAATGTTCATTGAATGCATAAAACAGTGAACCAAATGAATGAAGATCTCCTCTCCTAATGGTCAACAAAAGAGGAAACTGAGGCTGGAGAGGTTAGGAGACTTGCTCAAGGTCACACGGGTGGTGACGGTGCCGTTTCTCCTAGCCCAGGTCTGGTCAAGGCGCTCCAAGGTCTCTGCCAGACTCTGAACAGCAGTGCCTCAGGCCCCTGTGGCTGCTCAGTCCCGCCTGCCCAGGCACATGCATGCAGCCCTGTTCCTGGGCACAAGCCAGCAACGCCCCCACCAGACTAGCTCAGCTCCTTATGGTGAGAGGGCGGAATGCAGCCTCCACAGTAAACATGGCCTGAGCTGGTTTCCACGCTCTCTCCAGGGCACTGTCTGCAGGCTTGCTTCCGGCTACTTGGCACCAGGTCTGAGTCTCCTTCTTCAGCCCTTCCCAGCCTGGCCTCTGCAAGGCCAACCTCCTCTGTCCCTTCCTTTCCCGCACAGTTTTCAGAGAGTCTCAGATGTCCCCTGGTCCAAATTGCTGCGTAGCTGAGGAGGTGGAGACCCGGAGGCTGAGAGCCTTGCTGAGGCATTGGTGACTTGGTTCAGAGCCAGAACTTGAATCCAGAGCTCCAGACTCCCAGTCTAATGCTCTTCTCTTGCCTGAGAGGCTCAAGCCTCCTTCAGAGCTAGGGTAGGATGAGGAAAGAGGGTAGAATTTTGCTGAAGTGCCTGGTACAGTCCCTGGGGTGCACAGGGGTCCAGTAACTCTGTGGAGAGAGGCAGGACTGAAAGCCAAGTTCCAGGGAAGTATCAGATGCAGTGGGTGTCACCCTGAAGGGCCAGCTGGGTGCTGCATGGGCACAGAACTGAGCACCTTCCAAGGGTTACTCCTTGGTCTTGCAGGTCCTGAAACTAGAACTGAAATATTCACCGGGGTTGGACAGGCTGACTTACAATGACCAAACTCACAGAGACTGATGTATAGACCAGACATTAATTTATTAATTTCCCGTGACAAATAGAACTATTGCACAGGCCAAAGTGTGTCTTTGGGCAAGACCCTTCATTTCTCTGAGCCTGAGATTTCTTGTAAAATGGGAATAGTGCAACCTGCTTGGCAGGATTGTCATGATGCATGAATTGGTCACTCATTGACCACCTTGTACAGGGTCTCCCACATAGTAAGAACCTGGTCCTTGTGTGGGCAGCTGGCAGGAGGGAGCCTTGAGTTCAAATCTCAGCTCTCCCAGCATCTAGCTCTATGTCCTCAAGAGAGGACACTTACACATACCCCTTGCTGGGGAGGGCACTGTGCTAAGCATTTGCTGTGAGTGAACTCAGGTGAGCCTCCCTGGGGAAGGCACTATTATTAGCCCCTTTCCTGGTGAGAAAACTGAAGCTCAGAGAGGTTACAGGTCTTGCCCAAAGACATGCATCTGTAAGTAGCTTTCTAACTCAGCCCTCAGCGTGTTAAGTAACTTCTCTCAGCACTGAACCTAGGCTTTGAACGTGGTGTTAGGGTATCTTTCTACAGTCACTGGAGTTACTACCCCTGTGGGAGAGGGGTGCTAACCACAGCTGTTGGGAAGATGGCCCACACTAAGCCCTCAATGAGTTGGTCTCTCTTGTTACTGGGAGTCCAATCTTCAGTGAGCAGAATCTGTCCAGGTATAAGGCAGTGAAAAAAAATTGTAATGTGTTTAAGAAACTAAGAGAGCTCCAGGCTGGCTGCAATGTGGGGTCTTGAGGGAGAAGAGGTGGGAGGAGATGTGAAAGGAGAGGTGGGAGTCTAGGCGGGATAGGAGGTCACGGGCGCCTGACCCCCCACAGGGGCATTTGCACTTGGTTCTTTAGTTAGGCGTTGCAGCAGGGTCACAGGGAAGACGAATCCAGTGGGTATGTGGGCCAGATTGGGCTGCAGAGTCCAAGGAGCCGTGCCTCTGCCCCAAGGCCCAGGTGCCAAGCAGAGCCCTGGGGGAGGAGCATCTTGTCCCTCATGATGGTGGTGGCAGCTCCCGCTGGCAGCTGGGCAGGAAGTGGGTCCATAGCTCCTTGTTTTATAGGCAATAACTTGTTTCAGAGAACACAGATGGAGTTCCTGATGGAGGCCTTTGGCTCTGGCTCAGAGCCCGGGAGGGCTGCCTGGCTGGCTGGGGAGACACTAATGGGCTTGGGGTGGGATGTGCTGGAACACCAAGGGGCTGGTCCTGGGAGCCCCGAGGCTGGGCTGTGGAGGGCTGGCATATCTTCCAGAAACATCCATGGAGGGTCCAGGCCCCTGGGTGCTCACAGTGTCCTGGGCCATTCACATTCTCTGGCCCCTGCCCCTCTGGGATGGGGGCTTACTCTAACCACAGACAACTGAGAGAGGATGTGGTGTGGGTTGGGGGGTTCTGACCGGACAGGTGGCCTTCACTCACTCACTCCAATCAAAGTCGGCCAAGACCAACACGGCCCTTCCTCATGTGGCACTTCAGTGGATTAACTCACTTCATACTCTGAACATCCACTCATGGAGGAGAAGACTGAGCCTCAAATGGTCCAAGAGAGGGAGACTGAGCCCTAGAATAGTTCGGGAGCTGGAGACTGAGCCCCAGAATAGTCCGGGAGCTGGAGACTGAGCCTCAGCATGGAACAGGAGCTGGGGACTGAGCCACAGAATAGTCCGGGAGCTGGAGACTGAGCCTCAGCATGGAACAGGAGCTGGGGACTGAGCCACAGAATAGTCCGGGAGCTGGAGACTGAGCCTCAGCATGGAACAGGAGCTGGGGACTGAGCCACAGAATAGTCCGGGAGCTGGAGACTGAGCCTCAGCATGGAACAGGAGCTGGGGACTGAGCCACAGAATAGTCCGGGAGCTGGAGACTGAGCCTCAGCATGGAACAGGAGCTGGGGACTGAGCCACAGAATAGTCCGGGAGCTGGAGACTGAGCCTCAGCATGGAACAGGAGCTGGGGACTGAGCCACAGAATAGTCCGGGAGCTGGAGACTGAGCCTCAGCATGGAACAGGAGCTGGGGACTGAGCCACAGAATGGTCCGGGAGCTGGTTGCGGTTGCCCTCCAGGGGTGGCCGCTGCGATTCAGAGCTGAATCTGCCCTTTTGGGAGTGGGGGTGTGGCCAGTTGGTGGGCTCAGTGACTGCAGCTCCCTGCTGCACACGACTGCGACTTTCTCTTTCCATTTTCTTTTCTCGCCCTGGTTTTGGTGGGTGGTGGAAACGGAGCCTCAATCAGCTCAGCATCCATACCATTTCCGCAGATGCATGGCAGTGGGGTGGGGACTGCCATCAAGCTGTGCTGGTATCAGTGGATGTGTCGTCCTGGTCACCAGCATCCATGGGTCCCCCCTGTGTCTGCCCGGCTTCCTTCCCCCAGCTCTGCTGGCGCTCCCCAGCTCAGGCATCTATCTGTTCTGAGGGGTGGGGGGCTCCATGAGGTCAGCCTGGGCAGCTCCCCACTGTGCCTTCAGCTGGGAACACTGGGGTCTTGGCACCTTCCTGACTCTAGCTGGAGATGGAAGCAAGGGGAGAGCAGGTTCCCTCTGTCCTCTGGTTCCTAAAACCTCTCTGGGGCTCCTTAATTCCACCCTATTCCCCAAACTTGCCTTGGGTGGGCAGGGCTCCGGGCAGCTTCTCCTCACCCCTTTCTCTTCAATTCCCCCTCAACCCCCAGTCCCAGGTGACCTGTTTTTTGGCTTTTGCCTGCACCTGGGCTGTTGACATTCACAAGCGGAGAAGGAAAGGTCTTTGCTGTTTGTATCCGGTTGCGTCATTCCCTCTCCCTGACCCCGAGACCTTGGAGGTAGATTCCCCGGGCACCAAGGAGAGGAGGGCAAGGGTGCTGGGACTCACCCGGGGAGGACGCTGGCTAATACGGCAGCCTGCTCTCCTGTTCACACAGAAGCGACCTCGCCCAGGCTCTGGCCTGTGGGGTGCTCCACAGATGGAGGGTCCCATCAGAGAACTTGAGGAGTTGGCCCCTCCCGAGCTCCTGCTGCTCCTGGGATGTGTGGTTTACTGCACCCTCTCTAGACACGGAGATTCACCTGCAGACGAAGCCACCCTGATTCTGAACAATTACCCACCACCCCCATGAGCTTGGTGCTTGCCCTTCACCTCTCTAAGCCACCTGTCCTCTTAGGCCAAGTCGGGGTTGATGTCCCCTCCAGGGCTACGCCAAGTCAAATGCCCAGCACAGCATCTGTCACACACAGGCACCCACAGGCTTGGGGCACCTTCAAGCATAGCCAAAGCTTCGCTTGGGGAGGTAGGTCAGGGACCTTGGCCGTGCTGGCAGCGGGGAGTCATCCGGATCCCGAAGAGATGCAGGTGACCTAGTAAGGAGCCTGCTAATTTTACCTCCTCTCATCCTGCTGTTTCCTCTTCCCTCCACCTCCTGGAATCATCTTGCTATCCTCTGGGTATTAGTCAATGCGATCTATATATGGTCCTTTGGAAATGGAATCTTACCTAAAAAAAGGAGCAGCGAGAATTGGATGATTGGAGAACTGGTCCTCAAAGCCCTAACCTCCCCTAATTCATTAAGTCAGCAACCCCCAAGCCTAGGCCTCCAAAGATCCAGGTAATTATTTTTTTCTCTTTAGCTCCTGCCTTTTATGAGGTTTAGAATATTCCCCCAAAAGTTACATGGGGGAGAGGCAGAGGCAGTGGAGAGGGTGGGAATGCCCTTCATCTGTCCCCTACTCGTTGTCGAGTGTTTAGTAGACATTCCTTCTCTTTTCATTCTGACGAAACCCTGCGTGCAACACGTTAGTATTTCCGTTCTACAATGGATGGGGTGAGCCTCAGAGAGTTCACCTGACTTAGCCAAGGTCACGGAATCAGGAGGGGCAGAGCCAGGATTCAGCCCGAGGGATGCGCAGCCCTGGAGCTGGAAGCAGACAAGGACACATGTGTCACCAGTCACACACTGACACAGTGCCAGCAGAAGTCAGTTCAATGCATTGGAGGCTACTCCGTGGACGTGAAGGCAATTGAAACCTCCTTCTCACATTGAAGGAGTCTCATCTGATGAGGAGACACCTGACTCTCAACCCAGGGGCGATGAAAAGCAGCCCCAGCAGCGAGCAGTGGGGAGAGGAAGACTGATCCGGGAATGTGCTTCCTGGAGGAGAAAGGACTCGAACTAGGCCTTAAAGGATAAGATGGGGGTTTTACTAGCTGGAAGGATGGAGAGACCTGCCTGTGCAGAGGCAGGGGCTGTGAGAGGTCGTGGTGTTTGAAGACACAGCAGTTCTTGTGGGGGACGTAGTGAAGTCTCTAAGAGCGTGTACGAGAGCAGGCATCATGCCTGGTACAGAAGGTTCCTGATAAGGGTGGTGTGATAAAGTTGTCAATCAGAAGATGGTTGAGCCATGACCTATGCCCTGGGTATTAGCCACTGCATTCGCAATCCATTTTAGCAGGGACCATCACAGAGCCCAGTTGTCACAGTGCAGCATGGCAGGGGCCATGGGAGAGGCAGGTGGCTGCAGTCTGCCAGGTGGAGTCAGGGAAGACTTCATAGGGGAGGGGACAATTGAATTAGGTCTTGACATCTACATAGAAGTTCACCAGAGAAGGAAAGGGATCGGGGCCTCCCAGGCACGGGGTGGCCTGTGCATATACCTGGAGGACACCCGTGGCGAGGGTGTTGAGCTGGAGATGTGGGGAGAGAGATATTGCTTGGCAGTGCACACAGGGCCTCTGCCCCTCCAGAAACCCCCCAAGAAGAAGCAGGATCCGGGCTGCCGGTCTGGAATCAACTCTAACCTGCCTTGAAGATCCAGCAGTTGCTCCTGTGCAGCCAGCTGGGGGCGGCTGGGCTGACCAGTTGAGTTAGCACTGCCACTCCACCTCCTACAGACCCTGCGGTTGGGGACCAGGAGGAAGCGAGTCTGTGCAGTGGTGCAGGTGGAGGACTCAGGTTCAAGCCTGACATGAATTCCTGGGTGATTGAATCAGGGGCTCCAAGAGAGACATCAGAGCACCAGATTTCCTCATTAAAAAAAAATTCTTTTAACAGCAGTTTCTAAAACACATTTATTACAGTCTCTGGAGATTTAATTTAAGTAAAAGAAATAGAATTGTTTCCTTGTGCCTGTGTTCCCTGAGAGCAAAACAAAATCCCAGTCTCCTTTGAGGGTGGTGGGCAGAGGACGGAGGGAGGTCCCATCTGCATCTCCATGCACTCGGGCAGAGCTGATCCGACCCCCAGAACGCAGTCTCTGCAGGGAGGGGAAGTGACCATAGGTGGCCCAGTTTTGGTCATCTGTGCAAGGTTTTCTCTCCTATGCCATCCAGAATAACTGCTGAGGTGTCTTTTCTTCCAGACAAGCCACCACTTGGATGTCAAGTCTGAGAAGACAGCAGTTGTTAGAGGTCAGTGCAGTTTTCAATTAGGAAAAGTCTGTGTGCTCAGAAAAGTCCAGGCCAGCAGGACGATCTGACCGTGGGCTGGCGGCTGGGGTGGGAAATGCCCACTGCTACGTCCAGGGGAATGGGGTCCACTTTCTCCCTTCCCTACTCGGCCCATTTCACAACTTAGGGAGAACACGTTGGAGAAATACAAAAATGTCCAAATTCCTCAACCCTGTGGTTTCACTCCTGGAGATTCATCCTACGCAAATAATTCTATGTGTGGAAAAGCTCTATGTACAGGTGTATTCATGTCAGTGCATTTATAATAGTAAAAAATTGGGGGGAAAGAACCTTAGTATTGCTAATTAACCCATATACTCAATGAAATATAGTCACTAAAATGGAGCTGGTAAACACCATGTGACAGTAAGGAAATTATGATATTCTGCTAAATTTAAAAAGGTAGGATATGGACTGTTTCATGTGATGCCAATAATGTAACTAATGCACATCTGTGTCCGATGAGCAACTTAGGCTGGCAGATAAACTAAAATACTAACAGTGTTACTTGGAAAGATGGTAACATGAGTGACTTTTTTTTGTTTTGTTTTTATTATTATTATTAAAAAGAAAATTAAGATGCTACCTGACCAGATATAATTTCCCTGGGCCTTGTTTCAGTGCAGCTTACTGTTGGCACAGGGGTGGACTGGGCTTCTAAGGATTTGTTTACGGATGTGTTCTTATCAGGTGCTCAGTAAATCATGGAGAAAGTAAATCAGGTGTTACCTGTAAGGCGGAGCTGCTTTTGAGATGTTTATTTAGTGGGTTTTATTACTAGATTTCAGTCTTGTCAGCTGTGTGATGTAATTAACCTCTTTGAGCCACAGAGTCTTATTTTTGAAAGGAGGATAATATGACCTTCCTCAAGAGTGTTTAGTCCCTGGCACATAGCAGGGTGTCAATAACCCAAAAGACAGACCTGTTCTGGCTTTAACTGGTCAGGATGGACCTGCGCCTCTGGACCTTGACCATCTGTCCCTGCAGCCTGATAGAGAGGCATGAATTCTAGCTAATCTGCTTCTGCACTAATTTGCTCCATGGCCTCATGCAAGTCTCCTCCCTTCTCTGGGCTCAGCTTCCTCTTATTTTAAAGAAGGAAATTTACTAGATTTATTTATTTATTCATTCAACATTTCTGGGGGGCTGCCATGTATCAGACCCCAGGTAGGTGTTGTAGGACTTACGAAGACAAGCTGGCTGGCAAAGGTGGTGGCCCCTGCCCTGAAGGAGGTGAGGTTTCTCAGATACCCCAAGACCATGACAGTACCATCGGAGGGGTGTGGATAAGATGCCTGGAGAGTTCACAGGCATCCTAGAGGGCCTCTTTCCTGGAGCATGGGGACCTGGGAATGACCAAGGGAACAGCAAGAGAATGAAAAAAATTATTATGAGGCTAGAGACTTGTTGATTTTTTTTTTTCCTTTTTGTCTTTTTTTACTGACCGGTAACGGGATCGCAACCCTTGGTGTCACGCCCACACCGCGCTCAGCCAGTGAGCGGGAACCGGTCTCCACATGGGATCCAAACCCTCGGCGGGAGCGCCGCTGCGCTCCCAAGGGCGCACTCTCCATTGCGCCACCGGGCCGGCCCGAGACTTGTTGATTTTTAAAATAGAATCTTGGGTTGAGGTTTGACTGAGAATTTTCTCTTCTAGCTCAGAAATTCTTCTTGAACCCTGAAATAGACAGTGTTCTCCAAAGCTCATCGTGTTTGGAGTCTTGGTCTGTTCCCGAGGCTGAGCGGCTGAAAGAGACAGCTCGACTGGATTCTCTGAAGGTGAGCGGACCCTGGTCACCTAATTTCTTAAATAAACTTAGGAACACACACAAAGAAAAGAGAACAACTCACACGTGCACAGCTCAGTGATGCCAACCATAAAGCCACCACCAGGTCAGGAAACAGAACATAACCAACATCCCAGCAGCCCCCTGTTTCCCTACCAGTCTCCTTCTATTATCTATTTTAAAATCTCTGCTTTTGGTCAAATTGTGTGTTTTATGTCTGGTGACCTTTTAGAGAGTTCTGGACATCATGCATGAAAACTTGCAGGCATCTTTTGAGGTTCTGCCTGACAGTGTCCCTGTCCGGAGAGCACCTCCCTTTCTCTGATGGGTGGCTGGGCCTGGACAGGTCATCTCCCTGATATCAGGACTGATGGGTCTGCCGGGCTTCCTGTTCACTCTTACTCTTGAGGCATGAAGTTTCTGGGTCCTATCCCTGTGGCCCCATCAGCGGTGAGGCTGTCGAGAGTTCTGCTCAGCCTTCCACCTCTCGGCTGCCCCTATCACTGATAGACTCTGCCTCACCGCAGGTTTGGTCCAAATACCCTCATTAGCCATTGCAGAGCAGCAATCTGCTCCTTCTTCGCAGAGAAGATTTAATGTACCTACGGGCTTTGGAGTTTGAATGACCTGAGTTCCAGTCTCAGCTCTGCCCTTCTAATTCAGTGGATGTTGGGCCAAGTACTTAATCTTTCTGTATATTACCTTCCTCATCTGTGCAATGGGCACAATCCTGTCTACTGCCGTGATGACGGTAAACATCAGGAAAGCAGAACCGATGCGTGCCTGGAACATTAAAAGTGCTCAAGGAGAGAAAAATTAGTCATTGCTCAAGAGGAAACTGATCTTACTCATTTTATTTCAACCTACTTTATTCCTGCTTCCATGATTATATTAATTTTTTATCTAACAAATGGAGACAATATTTACCTCTCAAAATTGCTGGCACAATTGAATGAAGTCATGCATATGGACTATTTATTATAGTGCCCTGTACAGGGAGGCATTCAAAATGACAGCTGTGGGTACTGACCTTCTTATACTGTTTTTTTTTTTCTGACTGGTGAATCTCATTTTAAATTAGTTGTCCACAGGCTTATTATCTAGCAATAAAAACTTCTTTCCAGCATCGATCTGCTCCTGGGAAAATTACCTCTGACTTTTGATCTTGACCTGCCTTATCAAGAGCAGGAAGAATGTCTTTAGGCCAAGGGAACATGTGCAAGATAAGTGTGGGTGCTCACGAGGTATTGGGGGGCTTGCAAGCAATTAAACGTGGCTGGAGCATGAAGTCTGGGAGGTGGAGAGCAGTGTAGGAGAGGGTCACGGTGATGGCGATAGCAGCAGTAGGCATGAGAAGACGCCCACTCCCGTTCTGGAGCCCTTACTGGTGCTGGGAACGCATTAGCTCGCCCACTCCTCACAGTGGGCCCACAGCACAGAGAGCAGCATTAGCCCACATTTGCCACGAGAGCAGGTCAGCACAGAGCAGGCAAACAGCTTGCCCAGGTCACATGGCTAGAAAGTGGCAGCACTGGGGTCCCAACCCGGGCCTCCTGGTGCTGGAGCTGGCCCTCTGACCACTGTGTGACCAGGGTGTTCCGGGGCTTTGTTGGTGGTGAGATGGGAGCAGACCCTCTTGCCTCTGTCGAAGCTCCAGTCTGCAGCTCAGCTGAGGAAAAGCTCTCGAGTGTCTGCTCTTGGTGAGATTGGCAGAAACCTCTAGCAAAGCTCCCGAGGAAGCAGGCAGAGTCTCAGTCAAATGAACGGAGAAGCCAAACACGCTTCCTAACGCCCTCACGGTTCCACGTTTCTCAGCTGGTCTGCATCTCTCTTCAGAGTTGTCACCACACATGTAGAATGCCACTGGATAAAAACCCTTTCTCAGTTGGGAGTAATTTTGAGTCCACAGGGGATTTTTGTTCCTTTGCAGCAAGATGACAGAACATCAACTTAAACATTTTTGTTCCCATGCTTTACATGGTGCCTGGCCCATGGGAGGCCTTCAAGACACCTGCTGGATGGATAGTGTGGGGCGGTGGGGTGGTGGTAGTGCTGGGCTCTCTCTCTCTAGAAGGTCACACTGTGGCACCTTGTCCCAGTTCCTGGTGCTGTGTTTTCACCCGCAGTCTTGGTTCTGCTCAGTTGTGATGGGCATCTGGGAACAGTGCTCCCTGCCCTGGGCAAAAACAGATTACAAGCCTATCTCTGGCTGGCTTTGGGGAAGAGCTTCCCATGGCGAAAACAAGCTTGTTAAATAACTGCACCCGGGGATTTGTGACCTACAGGCAAAATGAGGTCATGGAGTTTTGAAGGGCAGTAACTAAATTTGTCACATGTCACAATTATTTTATGGTTGAGCTTAGAGGAAAGAAACGGGGGGGATAAGAATACACAAAAATATCCTGAAAAGGCTGGAAAACCTTTAGTGGTTGAAGAACATTTAGCCCTTTATACCATAAGCCTGGTCCTGTCACTCCCCCACTTCAGCCCCAACACCGCATCCCCAGGTTCAGCTGTGAACTGTAGTGGGGAAAGACGCAGGCTCGGGAGAAACGTGGCCCACGTGTGAATCTTGGCTCGGCTTCCTTAGCTGTATGGCCCTGGGCAAGTCACTTAACCTCTCTGGATCTCTTTTGTTCTTTTCATCTGCATGTGGAATCATAATACTTACCTCTTTGGTTTTTTGGTAAAGATTTAAGGAATCAATACATGTAAAGTGCTTACAGCAATACCTGACACATCACAAGAGCTCAATAACTGTTCACAGTAATAGGTTGAACTACATGAAATTGCCAATATCATACTATTCTTTCCCTACAAAAACAGTAGTTTCATATGGTTTAAACTATTATTATTATAATTATTATTATAATTACAAGATAAATTCCAGACTCCTGAAGCTGGTGTTTGTGTTTCCTGTGCACATTACTCTGCCTGGAATGACCTTCAATTTTTTTTTTTCCTTTTTGTCTTTTTTACTGACTGGTAATGGGATCGCAACCCTCGGTGTCTCGCCCGTACTGGGGACTGGCAACGGGATCACAACCCTCGGTGTTGTGCCCGCACCGCACTCAGCCAGTGAGCGGTAACCAGTCTCCACGTGGGATCCAAACCCTCGGCAGGAGCGCCGCTGCGCTCCCAAGCGGTGCACTCTCCAGTGCGCCACCGGACCGGCCCTTTTTTTTTTTCTTCAATTTTTAACATGTAGCAGAATCCTGCTTCTCCCCAAAGTCGAGCTGACACCACCTCCTCCATGAGGGCTTCCCAGCTCCTCAGGGTGCAGGTGACTTTTCCCTCCTGGGTGCTCCAAAGGCACCTGCGTGGGACTCTCTGCAGACCTTCGTGCATTCATGTGCCTGCCTTTTCCACTGGGTTGGGAGNTCGCAACCCTCGGTGTTGCGCCCGCACTGCGCTCAGCCAGTGAGCGGGAACCGGTCTCCATGTGGGATTCGAACCCTCGGTGGGAGCGCCGCTGCACTCCCAAGCGGTGCACTCTCCAGTGCGCCACCGGACCGGCCCTTTTTTTTTTTTCTTCAATTTTTAACATGTAGCAGAATCCTGCTTCTCCCCAAAGTTGAGCTGACACCACCTCCTCCATGAGGGCTTCCCAGCTCCTCAGGGTGCAGGTGACTTTTCCCTCCTGGGTGTTCCAAAGGCACCTGTGTGGGACTCTCTGCAGACCTTTGTGCATTCATGTGCCTGCCTTTTCCACTGGGTTGGGAGCTCCTTGAGGGCAGGCACCAGCCAAGATTGGCACTTAGGGAGGTGCTCAGTGATCGCTGATTCCTCTCCTCTGCTGCCCTGCAGAGAATTACACCTCAGTGATGTGGTCTGTGAAATGTTACTATGTACATTTTGATTGGGAAAATGCCAGGTCAGTTATCGTTTAGAAAGACTATTTACCATGTCCTTTGCTTCAGCAGAGCTATGAGCAAAAGGGACTCAGACATTTAGACCCTGATCATCTGAGTCAAAAATAACAGCTTCCTGGGGCCGGCCCGATGGCGCACTGCTACAGTACGCTGCTTGGGAGTGTAGCGGTGCTCCCGCCGAGGGTTTGGATCCCACTGGTTGAGTGAGGTGCGGGCGCAACACCGAGGGTTGTGATCCCGTTGCCGGTCCCAGTCCGGTACATGTTTCTCAGCGTTTTCCGCTGAGAAGCAGATGGCACTGATTGTGCAGAACTGCTGCTGCTTGCTGCCTCCTGGGATTGGTAGAAAAGGCTGCTCCATTCTACTTGTCTGGCTGGTGAGGCACGGGCACACGAGCTGTGCCCTGTAGAGGAGTAAAAAAAGGCCTAAGAAGGAGTCCTGTGTTACTGAGAGAGGTGGTTCTTCCTGTAATTTGCAGGGAAGGTGTTTAAAAGATGTGAGATGCTGGTCCTGAAGGGATAACATGTATATTAGCAGCTAATGGAGGAGATATGGGAAAAGTAGGGTTTTGAAATCAGATGGGCTTGGGTTGAACACTGAGCCAGCCACTTCAGATCTACATAAATTGAGATAAGGTATTTAAAGTCTTTTTGACTATTAACTGTTTCCTTGTCTGTAGAGTGGGCCTGATAATAGCTTGTCGGGAGAATTTAGCAAAAGCAAGTGAAATAGCACATTTGGGAGGGTCCTGGGAGGTGCTGGACATAAAGCTGGCATCCAGAAGATACTGATTCCTCTTTAATGGGAAGATCATTTTCTCTTGTCCCTGGGAACAAGAAAATTTATGGAGGACATCACTCTATGGGGATACCTATCAGTGATTGTGCTGTCCTGCACCTGCTGGGGGACATGGGATGAGAGCCTTACCCTGTCCCAGTCTCAGTGTCCTCATCTGTATCACAGTGGTGATGGCATGTGCCTCACTGAACTGCAATAGAAGGAAGGCTGCCAGGCACAGGGAGCCTTTGGGGCAGGCACAGAAAGTACACAGTAAATGTTAGTTGTCGTCCCATCTCTTTCTTGGGTAAAGTGTGTGATCAGAGGGCTTTTGTTAGCATGTGGAAGCAGAGACCATTTCACTGTGCTCTTGCTTCCAGCTTCCCCCGCCCTTGGGGCCCTCCCTTGATTCTGGAATGTGCCTGGCAGCGGTCACTGTGGAACCAGGACTCCCGGCACGACGTCTGCCAGAAGGTGGAGTACCCTGTCCTGCCTTCCAAGCTCATGGCCTGCCATCACCCTTGGAGCTCCAGAGCCCGGCGAGGATCCTGGCTTTTCACCAAGAGCTTAGACAAAGCATTTGCAGCAGTTCCCAGGTCAATAAATCAACACTGGAGTTATAAATTGAATAGGACCACTCATTCTCCGTGGCCATTTCATAGACTCCATAAATATTTGAAGCAGAACCTTTGGAGAGTGCTCTAAGAAATTGGTAGCAATCAAAGCCCTTACTTAGTGGCAAGTGGTGTTGCCTTTGGCTTAGGGATCTGTGCTCATTGTCAGAGCTTGGGAGAAATGCTGGACTGTGCCCTGCAAATTTGGAGGAGTCTGGTTTTGGCAAATGTCAAGGCAGCAAAGCAAATATTTACGGTACCAAAACCTATTGAATGACTAGTCCAGTGGCTCTCAACTGGGCATGATTTTACCCCCACCGCTACCCACAGGGCAAAATTTGGCAAGGTCTGGAGACGTTTTGAGTCATTACAACAGGAGGTTGTTACAATGGGCTCTACCCACTAGATGCTGCTAAACACCTTATAACGCACAGGACAGCCCCCTAGAACAAAGAATTATCCAGCGCGAATGTCTCAGTGCCGAGGTTGAGAGGCCCAGGACTTGTCTAGTAGTAACTAACATCGTCAGCCATGGAGAATTGTTTTGTTTTCCGCCCCTGGGGCCCCTCCTCATGTTTTAAAAGATTTTTGTCTACTAACTGAAATGCCTAATCAAAGCAATTATATATTTTACATTTAAAAACATTAAAACCAACCAGAACTTTCCAATCAGTCCATTCACTACAAGAGCATTTGTTGACGTCTACTGTATGCCAGACAACATAGTGTGAGGTGACAGAGATGAGCCAGTGATGGTGCCTGCCCTGGGGACCTCACAGGGCGACAGGAGAGACACACATATAAATACACTGTCATGCAGTCAACTGTTACATGTGCCATGAGAGACGGGACAAAGGGAAGGGTCAGTTCTCAGAGGCGTGGGAAGCCATCCACAAAGGAACAGCTGAGCAGAGGTGAGGTGGGGAAGGGTGTTACAGTCAGAGGGAACAGCATGTGCAAAGGCTCTGAGGCATGGAACTGAACTGTGGATATGCTGTTGGAGGAGGAATGTGCAAAGCAGCCCCCTGCCCAGCCAGCGGCAGGGGTCATGCCTCTTCCCCACCCACATCCCTTCTTCCTTGGAGAACTGGAGTGGAAAAAGAACGCCTCCATCCTGAGGGCAGGCACCCAAAAAGGGAGTCCAGGGGGACTTGGACCACATATGCCCAGGCCCATGCTCACCAACCAGAGAAGTCATCTCTCTCTGTGGGAAGGAGCTGGTGAGAGGCTTGAGGGAAAGACAAGAGCTACCTGCTCGATTCTGTTTCCTCCTGGAAGTGGTTGTCCCTTCATGGAAGGACAAAGAAGGAAAGGACAAGCCCCTCCGGGAAGCAGGCAAGGTAAGTAGATTTTATTTTAATGTGTTGTAACTTTTTATTTTTAAATGAAAAGTTCAGAGTTCCCATATAGCCTCGCCCGGCTTCCCCTGATGCCAAAGTCCTGATGTAACTAACCATATATGATGATAGAAACTAGTGCATTTTATTTTGAGGAAAATTGGGGATCTTTGAAATGGAAGAAAAGCAGTGTTGGCATACCGAGTGGCTCCCACGTGCACTAGCTTCTGGGGCTTTCTGATGGGTTGTTGCCTTCATCCGTGAGCTCTCGGATTGACTTTCCAATGGATGTGTCCATTCATTCATTGATGTGCATTTGATGTGAGTACCGGGTCCTCGGTTAGGTGCTGGGGAAAGAGAAACAAGGTGCTGTCCACCTCGGTCATTGGGGACCTCCTGGAAGCCCTATGGCCCTGTTACCACCCCTCATGGGGTCCCTGGATTGGAACCACTGTTGTGATCACTTTTACCATCTCAACCACCACAGCACCCCAAGTAATTTCCAATCAATACGAGGCGACCTGCTGAGTGGGTCAGTGACGTAGGTTTTGTGATCCTCCCCTTCTGCCCTCCCCTCCCCCTTTATTTTGGGACATCATTGTTAGCTTTGAGCACCGGGGACATGATGAGGAGAATGGCCGCTGAGCCAGCAAGATGCCGGCAGCACCATGGCGCTCTCCGGGACACCCGCGAGGCTCAGCACCGGGCATGTGGTGACTTCACGCTCCCTCTGCCTCTGCTCACATCTGGGCCTCGGCAGAGAGGCAACCTGGGAGATCCACTGAAGGAAGCCCAGGCAGCCTTTGCAGCTTAATGCAGTGATTTCGTGATAAATCATGTTCCCAAGCCAGAAACCACTTATTACCCCGGCCGTGAATTCCCGCCCGGGTCTGGCACTTTGGGTCATCCCAAGTGGGGTCCCTGCTTTGTGCTGTGACTCCCCAGGGGTCCTTTTGCAATGGTGGATGGCAGACTTCCACATTCCCCTTGCCTGGTCTGTAGACCCTAGCCCTTGGAAGGGCACATGGTGCCACTGCCACCCCTTGGTGGGCTGTATGTGGCCGGGCCCAGCCTTGTCAGATGCTCCAGGGCTGGGGGCAGGACTCGGATGACTGAGCAGGGTCAGGCAGGAACTTGGCATGCAGGAGCTGGTCTCAGCCACCCCACATGCTGGGAAAGCCAGTGTAAGTGACCCCGAGGCCTCTGGAGACGGGCCAGATGGGCCAGCCCAGCACTGCAGCAGAAAGTCATTTGTCAAATGGGCTGTTAGCAAGCAGCAATGGTGGGCTTCCTTGGGAGCCAGAGCCCTAAACCCAGCAAGGTAAATGCACCCTCCCCACTGCCACAAAAAGACCCCACCTGGGCTTTTAGGCAAATCAGATGAGAGGGTTGGCTTGGCCTGTGGCCAAGCAGTAGAAGTGTTAAGTGCAGTTTCTCTCCTGCTGCCTGATTCATTTTCCTGAGCTTCCAGGAAGCATTTAGCTGAGCAGCAAAGGCATTGTTCTCAGCAGATGCTCCCCTGAGCACCTGCTGGGGCAGGTAGAAAACTAGGTGCTGGGTCGCAGGGGTCTCACTCCAGGTCCTTGTCCTCCAGGCTCCTGGGCAGATGGGTGTGCAGATAGACTCTGACTGAGTGGCATGAGCAGGGACAGTGTGGGGACCTGAGAGAGCGGCTGACTAACAAGGAGTCAGGGAGGGCTTCCTGGAGGAAGTGCTGACTACGTTGAGCCCTGGAGATGAGTAAGGATCAGCCAGGGAGGGGAGGCGTCAAAGGCAGGAACAAAAGCCTAGTGGGTAGAGTTGAGGTAGGAAATGGGGATGGATGCATGTCTTTCTGTAATCCTGGAGTGGAAGGTACTAGAATGAAGGTGTTGCCTTTTTTGAAATCCCACTGTGACTTTCTTGTTCCATTTAAAATGTGTTTTTAACATAGGTAATATGTTTGTATTCTTCAAAATTCAAGAGGTGCAGAAGTCTACACCTCCCAGCCCTGTTCCCAGCTCCCTTCCCCAGGGGCGAACTTGTAACCCCCAGCTTTCTACCCACCAGTAGGTCGTGTGCGATACACTATGTTCTGTGCTTTGCTTTTTCATTTAATATTTCTTGGTGACCATCCCATATCAGAACATATATTTCTCATTCACTTTTACAAGCAGGTGCATTGTTTTTCAATTTGTGAATTTAAAGAATCCCTCTTCAGTGGACATTTGAGTTGTTCCTGATCTTTTGCTGTTAAAACAGTACTGTAAGGAAAATTCTTATATGCACGTCTCTTCACACCTGTGAATAGACCCGAGGGTAAATTCCTAAAAGAGGAAATAGTGGGTGAAAGGAGATAAGTGTTTGTCATTTTCATAGTCCTGTCCATCCCCCACTGCCTGAACCCCTTTGAGATTGTAGCAGCGTTTGCTTCCACATGCAGCAGTTGGGGTGCCTGTGACCCTCAGCCCCACCGGCACCTGCCTGTGAGTTGTCGGTTTAATTCAGCATCACAGATGGGTGCTGTCCTCACGGGATGCATCTGAGCTAGGGAGACAGGAGTTAGGAAACAGGTATCTGCTTCCTGGCCCCGAGAGGAGCTGTCGTCTTCCATGTGCAGAGGAAGGCTGAGGCACAGGGAGTATGACCTCAGCCAAGAAGCTGTGATGTGGCCACGGGGACAGCTGATAAAGCACTGGGGAGTTTGGAGGCTGAGGGGAGCAGAGAAGGTGGCTTATGGTCTGAGCCATGAAGGGCGATATGGTCATGGGAGCAGCGGTGGTGGCCTGGGTGGGAAGGTCAGGAAGGGACCTCGGGTTCTGAGCATCTGGTCTATCAAAGGACGCCCCAGCTCCCTTTTCCTTTGGGGCAAGGAAGCTCAGTGGCTGCAGAAGAAGCTGGACTTGGGTATGTCAGGACCTGGGCAGAGGAGGCATGGGAAGATGCCACCGCGCAGCGTGGCTAGAGTGTGGGCCCTGAAGACAGACCGGCACTCACATCTTGACCCCCTGCTCAGCAGCTGTGGCCCCCATGCCAAGGCCCCTGAGGCTTCACTTTGCCCCTGAAAAGTGGAAATGACGTCATCACGACAACGTCTTGCCTTGGGAGGTGTCTGGTGACAAACACCTGCCAGTGGCCTTCACAGCCCATGTGCTGAACTCTCCCCTCTTCCTTTTCCTCTGACGCTGGAGGTGGGAGGCCTGGGAGGGTGGCCCAGGAGCGCAGCACGTGCCACTGCCTGGCTCTGGGTTCTGCTCTGTCCCCACCTCGTCTCCCGGTGCCTGGGGGTTCTGATCTGCAGAGTGGGATGCCCACCGGCCAGGGCACGTGTGACAGTGAGTGAGGTAATACTGGCAAGTACTAGAAAGAGCCCAGGATGTGGCGAGAGCCGCCCTTGTCTCTACGCCTGAATCAAAAATGAATCACTTAGGGCCGGCCCGGTGGCACACTGGAGAGTGCACCGCTTGGGAGTGTGGTGGCGCTCCCGCTGAGGGTTTGGATCCCATGTGGAGACCGGTTCCNAGGAATTAGTAGCTAAAATGATATTCTCTGACCGTTTCCTTCTATAGCAACCCGGCTTCCAAGTGACACTGCTTCCCCATGATGCTCTGGGTGTTGCTCCTATATTTTGGCTTCTTGGCGAGGACTCAGCATTATCCTGGTTCCCTGCAACTTCTTCCTGACAATTTTATGTAGTTCTCATAGTCTCTCCTCCTTCGAAGGACTTTTGTATCTCTTACTTCCAAACAAAAACTTTTATACTATTATTCTTCTATTTGATCCTCACAAACATTCTGGGTGGGACAGAGGGCCAATACTATTTTCTCAATGATATATTCAGGTACTTGTCACTATTACCTCTGGGTCATTTCTTCTTAATCGTTAAGGACTTTGGAACTTGGTTCACAGTTTCTCCCTTTACTCCAGCATTTGCTGTCATCTTCAGTGACTTCATGATGTACAGACATGTGTCATTTAACAATGGGGATACGTTCTGAAAAACATGTCATTAGGCAATTTCTTCTAGTGTTACATCACAGAGTGTACTATACCTAGATGGTGTAGCCTACTACACACACCTAGGCTTTATGGTATAGCTTGTTGATCTTAGGCCACAAACCTGTACAGCACGTTACTGTGCTGAACATTTCAGGCAGCTGCAACACAATGGTAGGTATTTGCATATCTAAACATATCTAAACAAAGAGAAGGCACAATAACAATATGGGACCACCATGGGAGGGAGCGGTGTTAGAATGGAGGAGAGAGTATTAGTAAGCCAGTGGTGTATACAGCCACTGGAACTAGTTGTTTCTGGGACTAGTTCTATCTACTCTATCTCATGATTTGCTTATGGGAATAAATACATTCCCTACTTTTGCTTAAATTAATTTGAATTGCACATCCTGGTTCATATACCATTGGGAATCAGCATGTAAAATGGATGGCTTTGGAGCTCCCGCTCTGGGTTTGAATCCTGACCTAGATGCTTACCAGCTGATTAAGCTTGGGGAAGTTACTTGACTTCTTGAAACCTCAGTTTTCCCATCTATGAAATGGGTTTAACAGATTTTTGTCCTGTATTATTGAAAGAATTATACAATGTAATGCATATGATTTTTTTTTAATGGCTGGCCAGTACAGTGGTCAAACCCTGGCCCTTGGTGTTATCAGCACCATGCTCTAACCAACTGGGAAACCGGCCAGCCATCACATGAAGTGATAAAGTGCCTAGCAATAAAAAAACTTTTTTTAAAAGATCTGTTTCTTTCTTTACAACCCGTGGTGTCTCTTTTCTGTGTCCCTCAAAGCTTTCCATTATTCTTTCCAGCTGGCATTCTTGAGAAACTTCTGTTCAGCTACAGCTTACAGAACGACTTTAGAAATTTCTCTTCTAGTGGTGACCATTCAGCTTTGCTTAATTTAAACCACAAGCAGCAGTGGTCAGCTGTACACACAAAACCACACCATAATATTTCCTCCAATCTAGCTTTCCTGTTTGCCTCTATTCTCTGATGACCAGT